AATAAAACTCAATTTAAGAAAGTTGATATATTTAATTTTTTATTATTAATGAATCCTCTAACTTAATTTTTAAGAGTACCCAAAGAGGATTGCCACCAACCTCCAAAACTCTCCCCAAAGCCTTAAATTTGATTTTTGAATGAATATTTATAGAATTTAAAAAACCCCATAACAAAACAGGAAATTCCAATGCTGGGCGTGTTTTGGTGTTAACACCATAATATATGTGTTGACATCATACCCCTGTCCGGTTTACAACCCCTTTTTGCAATTTCTCTATTGGGAAAATAGCAGATTTGGTCCTCAGCTTTTGTACGATGAGAAGTTTGATCCCATAACTTAAGATTCATTCATTTATGTCCCAAAAAGAAACCTTTCTTCTTGCAATTCAGTCCCTCAACTTTCAAAAGATATTTAATTAATCCCAAAAACTACCATTATTATGCCTTCAAGTCTTCTTACGCACAAAAAATGAAAATTATATAAAATCTATTGAAATCACATATTATCCTTATAAATAGTAATGAAATCAAGACTAATATAATAGATTAAAGCATATAAAATGCTTCTCATCAAATTCCTAAAAAATAATTAATTTAGATTTTAGAGTATTAAATATCTTCAAAATATATTAATCTAAATTTTATATTAGTTAAATATGATGAAATTGAATAATTTAGAATTTTGACTCTTGGTATTACTTAAAATCAATTTAATTTTTCTTTAATTAGTTTAGTTAATTAGTTCATTCAAATCATTTAATTACAACCATTTAAATAAAATTAGAATTAGTTAATTTTGGTAATTAATTAGTTTATGGTTTTTATGAGTTGATAATTGATTTTCATCATTATATTACTTAAACTAACTAGTACTTTTGTTAGAGGGAAATTTGCTTATCAAAAATCAGTTGATAAGCTTATATTTTCAAAATCTGTATAAGAAAAAAAATTAAAATTTTGATAATTTTAACAATATTGATAGTGACAATAACCACACCTATGTTTTTTATGCAATTTCTCATGAAAAAGTAATTTCGAGAAGCTACAATAAAAATTAGTTTTTCTAACATGGAAATTAAGCCACGTTATAATTGATTATAATAGTTTGGCAATTGATTATATGTTAACTTTCTTGAGAGTTTTTTTTTTTTTAAACTTTTTACCTAGATTATATCATATATAATCACTTATTTACTATTTATAATTAGTTATATATATACTTAATATAACCATTTACATTTTTATTATAATCAATTACATTGCACTCAATTTTCTTGCTAGGAAAATTTAATTTTCGAAACTAAGCCAATCTATTTTTAATGTGACTTTCCCAAATCAATTTTTTAAGAGAAATTACATACCAAACAACCCTTAATGCGAGCTTCAACTTGGAAATTTCCTACCAAGGAAGTAGTATATAGAGAAGTTGGTTTTTTTTAGTCAAAGTCAAGATCATCTTGTTTTAAGAGTAGGTGCTAATTAACCATTGCCACCACTTCACAAGGACTTGAAATCTCTATGGAGATTTATTTCTTTTGCTCAGATTGGGAATGATAGTGACCTTGTTGGAGAGACATATTTTCCAATCAAAAGACTAAGACACTAATTTATTGAGTAAACATATTTAAACCACTCACTATTCTCTTAATTTTTCCAGCTCTTATTCTCCACAGCCCTATGGCCTATGAGAAAAACTTACATCAAATTCAATGTACTGGAATAGCAAAACAAGACCCAAGCTCGTGGTCAACACGATATTTGGTTATGTCGTTGTTGGCATTTGTGTGGTCAAGTCTATGGTCACTTTCTCACCTTCCTAAACACTCAAGCGCCTCCATCTTTGACTGAAATTGAAACTACCTTATAAGAAGAAAAGGAGCTACATTGCTTCAAGCCAAAAAACAAAGAACAAAAAATGGAGGAAAAATGGGTTGGAGCAATTGTATTGTTGGTTTTGGTAAGTGGGTGGTATTGTTCTTATTGTTCTGGGTGTTTGGAGGAAGAGAGAATTGCCCTCTTAAACCTCAAACATTCAATCCCTCCCCCAACTGGCAATGTTCTAGCATCTTGGGGAGGGCATGGTGATTGTTGTAAGTGGGTTGGGATTGAATGCAACATCACAACAAAGAGAGTGATCCAACTCTCTCTTAATAATTCTAGGAGTTGGTGCTCTAAGGGTTGGTATTTGAATTCTTCTCTATTTTCGCCCTTTGAAGAGTTGAAGAGTCTTTTCTTGCAAGGAAATTGCATTTTAGGCTTCATGAAGAATAAAGGTCATTCTTTTCTTTCTCTTCAAGCAACCATTTTAATTATTCAACATAACTAACTATATTCATTTCTTACACAGGTCTAGAAAAGTTGTCAGGCTTAAGTAATTTGGAGGTTCTTGATTTGAGTGATAACCAATCAAACAGTAGCATCCTATCAACTTTGGCTAGTCTTTCATCCTTAAAAGTGTTAAATCTAGCAGGCAATCAAGTGGAAGGAAGTCTCCATATTCATGTTCTAGGTAGTCTTTTACATAACGTAACTAATTAATCTGATATACTTTAAGAAATAAGGCATGATATCCATTTTTAACATGATTATGTTTCTTGAGGGACTTGAAGCTGCTCATTAATTACTTGTAAACGCACATATAATGCTTATTACCCATAACCCTATGTGCAAGTGTTAAAAGCCCATTGGGGCTAAGTAATTTGAAAGTGCTCGATCTGGGCAGTAATTATTTCAATAACATGGTTTTCATCTCTCAAGATTCTTGATTTGAGTGAGAATAAATTAAAAGAAACACTAAATATTAGAGGTAGATCAATTGTTTCACTTGTCTTTTATTTTCATCCATCATTGTATATCTTTCTAATGAAATCTTGTTTCTTTTTCCTCATTGTAATTTAATAAATTTCATTTTATTTTTGTGATTGGCAAAATTAGTTGCTTTAAACAAGTTGAAGGAGCTGGATTTAAGCTACAATCGTGTGGAAAGTTTTGTGGCTTCCAAAGGTACTGATGAAAGTAAAAAGTTTGGTTATGATGAGGCGTGGTCATTCTGTTCCTTTCATCAACGAATATCCTAAAAGAATTAGAAAACTTAATCCATTAGTTTGATACTCATAAATTTTTTGATCAAACAATAAACCCTATTACAGGTGTTAAAAGACCATTGGAGCTAAGTAATTTGGCAGTGCTTAATCTGTGGTGTAATTCTTTCAATCACACAACTTTATCTTTCCTAAGAATGCTTCCATCTCTCAAGATTCTTGATTTGGGTGACAACAAATTAAAGGGAATATTAAATATTAAAGGTAGATCAATTGTTTCACTTGTTTTCTATTTTTATTAATCATTACATATCCTTTTAATGAAATCTTGTTTTTTTTTCCTCATTATAATTTAGCTGATATCATTTTGTCTCTATGACTTCTAGAATTAGTTGCTTTAAACAAGTTGAAGGAGTTGGATTTAAGCTACAATCATGTGGAAAGTTTTGTAGCTCCCAAAGGTACAAATGACAGTAGAAAGTTTGGTTATGATGAAGCGTGGTCATTTTGTTCCTTTCATCAACAAATACAAAACTTGATCTATTAGTTTCATACTCATAAGTTTTTTAATTAAACAATAAACTCCGTTGCAGGTGTTAAAAGAGCACTGGGGCTAAGTAATTTGAAAGTGCTTAATTTGTACGGTAATTCTTTCAAAAACTCGACTTTATCTTTCCTAAGATGGCTTCCATCTCTCAAGATTCTTGATTTGAGTGACAACAAATTAAAGGGAATATTAAATATTAAAGGTAAGTCAATTGTTTCACTCGTTTTCTATTTTCATTAATCATTACATATCCTTCTAATGAAATCTTATTTCTTTTTCCTCATTATAATTTAACTGACATCATTTTGTCTCTATGACTACCAGAATTAGTTGCTTTAAACAAGTTGAAGAAGCTGGATTTAAGCTATAATCATGTGGAAAGTTTTGTAGCTCCTAAAGGTACTGATGAAAGTAGAAAGTTTGGTTATGATGAGGCGTGGTCATTCCATTCCTTTCATCAACAAATACCCTAAAAGAATTAGAAAATTTGATATATTAGTTTCATACTTATAAATTTTTTGATCAACCAATAAATTCTATTGCTGATGTTCAAAGACCACTGGGGCTACGTAATTTGAAAGTGCTTAATTTGCAAAGTAATTCTTTCAAAAACACGACTTTATCTTTCCTAAGATGGCTTCCATCTCTCAAGATTCTTAATTTGAGTTACAACAAATTAAAGGGAATATTAAACATTAAAGGTAGATCAATTGTTTTACTTGTTTTCTATTTTCATCAATCATTGTATATATTTATAATGAAATCTTGTTTCTTTTTCTTCATTATAATTTAATTGATTTCATTTTGTCTCTATGATTGCCAGAATTAGCTGCTTTAAATGAGTTGAAGGTGCTAGACTTAAGCTACAATCATGTGGAAAGTTTTGTAGCTCCTAAAGGTATTGATGAAAGTAAAAGTTTGGTTATGATGAGGTGTGGTCATTCTGTTCCTTTCATTAATAAATCCCTAAAAGAATTAGAACACTTAATCCATTGGCTTCATACTTGTAAAATTTTTTATTGAACTATAATTTACTTATACATCAATAAAGAAAATTTTAGCTCAAGCTCAATTAGAACTTTTTAAACCATGTTTGCATTGGCTATTGTGGAGCACTTGTCCTTTCTAAAGATCACAAGTTTGATACAAGATCACATATCTGTAGCTTTAAAGCTTATCTTGATTCCCTCTTTTGCTTGTAGATATGAGATGTTCAAGTATGCTAGAAGTCCTAAACCTAAGAGAGAATGAAAACACTTGTGGAAGCTGTCTACTACAATCAATCAAAGCATTCCCTTTAATTAAGATCCTTGATCTTACTTGGAGTACATCTATAGAACCAATGATTATTAAAGGTAAGTAATGTAGAGAAGAAAAAAGGACAAAAAAAAAAAAAAAAGAAAAAGAAAAAGAGAGAGAGAGAGAAAGAAGAAAAAGACAAAAATGCTTACCTATATTTCAAATTTTCAATTGTACATTATCTCACTTATCCAAGGTGCTAATAATAACTTGTTACTTAATTTTCAGATTTTCACACTTTCAAGAAGTTGGAAGTATTGCTTTTGGATATATCTTCTCTTCATAATAATTTTCTTCAAAGTATTGGAAAGCTAAACTCTCTTAAAATTTTGTCCTTGCCCCACTGTGGGCTTAGTGGAACTCTGCCTAGTCAAGGTAATCCAAAAATATATATATATAATCTTTTATAAGAAATTTAGAATTATAATTTGATGTAACAATTCCTCATTTCTTTGTTTCTTATTGTTTCTTGTGGTAGTAATTTCATTTTTTTCCCTCCTCGATAACTGATATTTACAGGATGGTGTGAATTGAAGAATCTTGAAGAGTTAGATTTAAGTGGAAATAATTTTCAAGGAACAATTCCCTCTTGTTTGGGAAACTTGTCATATCTTCAAGTGTTGGATCTATCACTTAATCATTTCACAGGAAATATTGCCACTAGCCCTCTTACCAATCTAAAATCACTTGAATATCTCTCATTTTCAAGAAACAATTTTCAAGTCCCAGTTTCCTTTAGGATGTTTACCAACCACTCCAAGCTTAAAGTCCTTTTGAGCGATGACAACAATTTATTGCTAGAACCTCTCCATCAAACTCCAACTCCAAAGTTCCAACTCATATTTTTGAGTTTGTCTTACCTTGCATTAAAAGAACCTCCCTACTTCCTCCATCACCAAAATGACCTTAGGGTTGTTCATCTCTCTCACAACAACATCACTGGAGGATTCCCATCTTGGTTGTTCATTAACAATACAGGATTAAAAGTACTCAACTTAGGATATAACTCCATGTCAGGACCTTTGCAGTTGCCATCACACCCTCATTTTAACATTTCAGTCTTAGATATAATTAGGAATGGTTTACAAGGAGAAATTCCTATGAACATGAGTTCAGTCTTCCCCCATCTTACGAACTTAATTATGTCTGAAAATTCCTTTCGAGGTCAGATTCTTACTTCTTTTGATGATATGAAATCATTAGAATTTTTAAGCTTGCCAAACAATCAATTCTCTGGGAGTATCCCTGATTCCTTTGGTCGTTTTAGCTCTTTAGTCTATTTAGACTTGTCCAACAATCGACTGTCTGGAGGAATACCAGAATCATTGGTCTTGGGTTGCCCCTTGCATATTCTCATATTGTCCAACAATAATTTGGAAGGGGAAGTATTTCCTCTTCTTGTCAACTTAAGCACATTACGAGTCTTACAACTAGACAGTAATGACTTTGCAGGAGAGATACCTGAGTTTTCATCTGTTAGCTCTTTTTCTCCATCGATAATAGAAATGAGCAACAATCGTTTCTCAGGCAAGCTTCCAAGATGGATGGGAAATATATCATCCTTGAAATGGCTGTCTTTGTCCAAAAATCATTTTGAAGGTCCATTTCCAATAGAATTTTGTGGCCTTCATAACCTTTATTTTCTTGACCTCTCAGATAACAACATGTCTGGCTCTATCCCCAAATGCTTTAATCCATTTTATATAAGGCATATTCATCTGGGCAACAATAGATTTACTGGGCCATTGCCAAAAGCATTATTTGGTAATGGTAGCTCTCAACTAGAGACATTGGACCTTACAAGGAACAATCTAGCTGGTACAATTCCTAGTTGGATCAGCAACCTACCTTATTTGCGCATTCTTTTGTTGAAAGCTAACCATTTTGACGGTGAAATTCCTTTCCAACTGTGTCAGTTGAACAAATTAAGGATACTGGATCTTTCTCAAAATAATCTTTTTGGTTCTATACCTTCCTGTATGAATAATTTAACATTTGAGGCATCCATGTCTAAGTTTGGGTTTAGTATTTTGATGGAGAGCAGCATAACATCAATGATAAATTCACTGTCAGACATAGCGAAGAAAAAGCTGACAAAGGATTACAATGGCTTTGTGAGATATGAAAATAAAGATGTTCAGGTTGAGGATTGGGTTGAGTTTACAACAAAGAGCATGCCATATGTTTACAATGGAAGCATCTATGGTTACATGTCAGGTATTGATTTATCTTGCAACCATCTCACAGGAAGGATCCCACTTGAAATTGGATACTTGAATCATATCCATGCACTAAATTTGTCACACAACAAGCTAACAGGACCAATTCCCTCTACATTTTCAAACTTGAAGCAGATTGAGAGTTTGGACCTCTCTTATAACAATTTGAGTGGGAGAATCCCCCCTCAGTTGATTGAGCTAAACACCCTGTCTGTGTTTTCTATTGCACACAACAACTTATCAGGATCAACCCCTGATCAAAAAGCTCAGTTCGGAACCTTTGATAAAAGTAGCTATGAAGGAAACCCTTTCCTTTGTGGAGCTCCATTGCTAATCAACTGCACCAAAATTGAATCACCATCAGTTCTGATCAATGTCTCCGATTATGATAGGGAAAACAATGGTTTGATTAACATGAATGTTTTTTATTGGAGCTTTGTGGTAACTTATGTTGTAGTATTAATGGCAATCATAGCAGTTCTGTACATAAATCCTTATTGGAGACGAGCATGGTTTTACTTCATTGAAGTCTGCATCACCTCTTGTTACTACTTTGTTCTAGACAACTTTTGTTGGTCTTCCATAAGAATCATTTAAGCTTTATAGAGTCAAAACTCGAGTCACTGGTAATGAGAATTGTAAGAGAAAATAAGTGTTTGAGGGGAAGCCTTTGGATTCATATGATCTTAATGCAAACTTTGATGTTGAAGTTTCCTACTATTGGAATTGTTCTAGATATGCATGCCACCAAAGCTACTATGTTGCTATCCGATTGAGTTTATTTATTTGTTATTTGAAATTAATTTAGTTTGTTTGCAGTTTGAATTAGTTTGTTGTAGTTTGTTTTAAATGTTTTTAAGTTTATAGCAGTTTGTTTATGTTTGTTTGTATTGGATAACTATTGAGGTAGTTTTGCAACTACCCTTATCTGTGTATTTAAGTATTTTACATAATGAAAATTGTGTTGCTTTTGCACTCAATCTCTCCTTTCTTAGTTTCATTTCCTGCAATTGGTATCAGAGCTTTTTTGATCCGTGAGGGTCTGTGAGGTTTTAGCACCAATATTTGAGAAAGTTCAAGCAAAATCATGGAAGCAAGTATCAGTTTCACTGCAAAGGTCCTTGTTTTTTGTGGCCAAAATAACCAAGTTTGGTCAATTAAAATGAAGTCATATCTGAGAGCATTTGACCTCTGGGATGCTGTTGAGCATGACATTGATCCACCCCCTTTGCCTGGAAATGCAACCTTGAACCAAATAAGGCGTCACACAGAGGAAGTGAAAAAGAAATACAAGGCATTGACCACTATTCATTTTGCAGTGTCTGAAGACATTTTTATAAGAATTATGACTTGTGAAACAGCAAAGGAGGCCTAGGATAAGCTCAAGGAGGAGTTCCAGGGAGATACAAAGGCAAAGCAAATTCAGGTGGTTAATCTTAGGAGGAAATTTGAGGTTCTCAGGATGAAAGAAACAAAAACTGTGAAAGAATTTTCTGATAGGGTGATGAAGGTGGTGAATCAAATCAGAATACTTGGTGAAGAACTTACAGAGAAGAGGATTGTAGATAAGGTTCTTGTGAGTTTACCAGAGAAATTTGAGCATAAAATTTCTTCTCTGGAGGACTCAAAGGACATGACACAAATGACACTTTCCGAACTTGTGAATGTGCTTCAAGTTGTAGAACAAAGGAAAGCAATAAGGCAAGAAGCTGAAGGTGCTGTTGAAGGTGCTTTTATTGCAAATGAAAGCGGAAAAGGTCAATTCAAAGAAGATGATGAAGAGAAGCAATTTTTAGACAAAAGTGGAAAGGAGAAGAGAGATTTTCAGAATGACCAACAAAGCAGCAATTATAGAAGCGAGAAAAAGCCTTATCCTCCATGTCTACACTGTGGAAAGATGACTCATTTAGCAACTTACTGCTGGTTTAGGCCTGGTGTAAAATGCAAGTCATGTAAGCAATTTGGCCATGTTGAAAAGGTTTGCAAAGCTAAGGCAAAACAATATGAGAAAGCGCAAGTTGCTAAGAATGTAGATCAGAAGGTAGAAGAATTGTTTATGGCTGCTGTGGTTGAAAGCTGTTCATCAACGTTTTTGGGTTCAAATTCTTGGCTCATTGATAATGGGTGTACCCATCATATGACCTCAAATTTGGCCATTTTCAAGACACTTGACAGATCTTATTTTTCAATGGTTAGACTTGGAAATGGGGCCATTTTCAAGACACTTGACAGATCTTATTTTTCAATGGTTAGACTTGGAAATGGAGAAGTTGTTGAAGTGAAAGGAAAAGGGACAGTTATTGTTAATACACCAACTGGTATCAGGCACATTTGTGATGTTTTATATGTGCCTTACTTGAGCCAAAATTTCATTAGTGTTGGTTAGCCATTAGAGAATGGTTATTTAGTGCATTTTCATGATGAATGTGTTGAGGTGATTGATAAACTTGGTGTAAAATTATTTATTGCTGAACTTGGTGTAAAATTATTTATTGCTGGTATGAATCATAGAAATTTTTCTGTTGATTGAAGTCAAACTGAAATTCAAGCATGCACTACTATTGTGGATGAATCTAAGAAATGGCATGAGAGGTTTGATGGTGTATGTGGTGTACGTCAAAAGGGAAGTTTTAGTAAGTTTTCTTTTGTAGTGAACAAGGCTTGGAGAGCTACAAAAAAGCTCCATTTTGTTCATTCTGTTTTTTGTGGTCTAGTGCATATCTCATCAATAAATGGCAGCAAACTTTCCTTATTGTTTATTGATGATTTCAATGGAATATATGTGCTGGGTTTATTTCTTGAAGCAAGTATTCAAAGTTTTTGCTGTGTTTGTGGAGCTTTAAGGCTTGCTATAAAGGAGAAGGAGGTGCAGATTCTATATTGTAGCTCAGAAGATCAGTTAGCAAACTTTTCCACTAAACCTATGCCAAATAAAAGGTTTGAAGAATTTAGAGACCAGCTCGACATTTGCAGCTTTGTTGCCAAGGAGGAGGTTGTTGGAACTATTCCAGATATGCATGCCACCAAAGCTACTATGTTACTGTTCGATTGAGTCTATTTATTTGTTATTTGAATTTAATTTAGTTTGTTTGCAATTTGAATTAGTTTGTTGCAATTTGTTTTAAGTGTTTTTAAGTTTATAACAATTTGTTTAAGTTTGTTTGTATTTGATAATTGTTGAGGTAGTTTTGTAATTACTCTCATATGTGTATTTAAGTATTTTACGTAATGAAAATTGTGTTGCTTCTGCAATTAATCTCTCCTTGCTTAGTTTCATTTCCTTCACCTACTAGGAGAGTTTATGATAGCAAAACATGCATTCTACATCAGTCCCACTAAGTGTCTTTTATTGGAAAAATAATGACAACAGTTTCAAATTTGGCCAAAATGACAACAATTACAAATAAAGTGCACGTACCAAATGTTGTAGCCTTTTGTTCCAAGAGAATACGGAGGCAGCATGATTGGTACAAAAGCTTATACCAAAATCAAATTAATTAAGGGTACAAACCAAAATCAAATTAATTAAGGGTACAATCAAGAGGCCATGGCTCAAAACCTAACATTCTTCCAACCAAAACAGTGGTGGAAAAAATAGCATTTGGATCTTAAAATGTTTACAAAAAGATGAGCACCTGAGAACCTTCTTTCACATTTGCAGTCTAAATGCAGCAAAGATAACAACAGGAAAGATATCCTTAGACTACTTGTGTCAAAAATGATCAGCTGAATATCAAAATTTGTTACTTCCTTCTTGTGCCCTCCACCCACTGTACATAGCCTGTTAGGATTTATCTTGGAAACCTATCACTTGAGGAAAATCTTTCTGAGAATTGATGACAGATGCAATTGTATTTAGTACAGAAATAGAGTAAAGAATGATAATTGGAGTAATGCTTCAAAACTTCTGTGCCCTCAGTTCACCATGTTCGGCCATACAAGCAGAGACAATGGAGAAATTCCAGTTATTTAAGCCTTCCTATGAGTGCGAAGATAACATTTACCTCTTGAGCACCATTGGACCACAGAAACCAGCATGTTTATGTCCTTCTGCACATCATCTGCCAGAAGACACGGCTTCCTCAATTCTCCTAATTACAATGCTAAGACTACCACCACTTTCCAAAGCTGTGACAGCAACTTGACGAGCATGCCTGTGCCATTTAAGCAGGTTGAAAGACTGTAGAACAGACCACCTTGCTTGATTTGACATCTTCCAAAGGTAATGAAAACCAATAATTAGCCCCTTTTTTCTCTCTCTAGATGAGAATAATTAGTACCTACTAATGAAGTAATAGCATGAAAATAGATAGTTGCAAAAATACCTGAGCTACGGAGAATGGTGCTGCAGAAGGACATGGATGCTGCAAAACATGTTTTCGTCATTCTCTCCACCTTCAGCCGCACCATAAACCAGAGCTTCAGCTGTGATACCAGCAAAAAGCACCATGCAGTACCTGATCATATAATTATGCGTCAGTATAATCAACAACAGTAGAAAAATATTTCCTGATATGCATTTTTGCTAATGATGTATTTACTAACAGCCTCAAGAGAGAAGAACATGCTCTGCACTTCTTCAGGATGCCTAGAAGAATAATTTATTTTAACTCCTGTTTAGACAGATTTATTACACTTGAAATATCAGTGATCATACTTAGAAACTAATGGAACTATAGACCTTTTGACCTGATGCAGCACAAGTAAAGAACAAATAGATTGAGAGTAATAGAAGAAAAAGTTGGAAAAGAGAAAAATTAAAAAAAAAAAAAGAAAAAGAAATGGAGGAATTAGAAATGGGAATTTACGTCAGTAAATTTTCTTAGAGTTTGTAGCCAGTATTTCCAAAAACTGATTGTCAGAGACATGAGTAATAACAACCTGTAAAGAAACAAGGAAATCAACCAATTTTCTAAATAGCAAATGAAATAAATATAATTTGGATGTCAAAACTTGTACCTACGGAAAGAATATTTAACTTTTTAGGCAGCATCAAACATCAGACACCACCTCGTTATACCAATCTGTCAAAGGCAGAGCCAATCAACCGTCATTGAGCCAGCTCATTACTCATTTTCTCATCCCAAAACTGAGTTCCAGCCTGTAGAAAAATACCGAGCTTGGGCCTTCATAACTTTCCATAAACTAAAGTTGTCCACAAGAGATTATATTGCGTAGGAATCAAACAGCATACAGTATGTGCGTTTGATTTACTTTACAAAAAACATGGACCAAAATGTAAAGAAAAAATAAAAGAAATCAAAATGACTACCTGCCCTTGGATGCCCATTTGCGTTGCAGCAATTGGATCTAAACTCCATGAATTGCGCAACCCATAAGGTACGCTGCAAATGAATTAGCAAAAGAAAATTAGTTATGCTTGTAACCCAATGTTATATGTCAAGATCATTGTCAAAGAACCAGAAGACACTAAAGAGAACATCAGCCTTTTGGCCACTGCTAAACTTGCAGAAGTGACCATGCAAAAAGTGTCCAAATGCAGGGATTCATATTTCAGATTTTGTACTACGAAAACCATGATAACATTAAAGTGAACAATGCGAGTATTACATACCAACAAGGAGGTGGCCTGCTTCATAAACTAGCATCCAACGACTATACGGAGGCCAGTAATTTGAAATTAAAGCTAAAAATGTACCCCCAAGGAAAATAGAGTCTAAAAGGGCTAGGCCTAGTATGGCAGCAAGGTTAGGCCTGATATCAATCCCTTGAGAAAGCAGATAAGAGACTCCACCCAGAAGAGCAACCAGTGCAGTGCTCGAGGTTCCAGAAGAACCCCACTTTTTTGGAGAAAGTTTAGAGACTGAAAGAGGAAAAGGTAATCCATAACTATTTCAATGAAATTTTACTTTAAATTTCTTAGATAAAACCATACTGCTAGAATACGAACGACCTTAAAACAACCAAAAAACAATAGAACGATATACATTATTCCAATCCCAATAATCTAAAATCATGCATTCTGCTGAAACTGCAAAGACTTCTATATGCAAACTAGTTTAAATCAAGATGATGAAACAACTTGAAGAACTTAGAAAAATTCATCAAAATTAAAGTAAAGGTACCGTCTAAACCAGTAGAGGACTTCAACACACTTGGTGAAACGTCTCCTGGCCACTCCAGCACTGCATATAGTGTGCAAGTCGAAGAAGTCAAAAGCAGGATTACATTCATTCAAGAAGAAACGAAAGTTGTTAGTTCGATAATTGCAAAGCCCACTCCTTTACATATAACGAAAGACCCGTTTCTCCCTTTTCAAGTTCAC